TAAAATGCTTCTGCTGCTATTGAATTGATCTAATCGTGTACAAAAGACAAAATATCAATAATAATGCAGTATTACGTGGAAAAGACTGCAAAGGTGACAATATTGTTCACACTGATTGTATTGGGTAGGAGCAGTGACATCACGCAGCAGGTGTTCGGCGATGTAAAGGAGGGCATCGTAGCTGCCTTTGGAGACTTCAATTCCGATGAATTGACCGATGTTTTTATAATAAGGGATGAAATGAGTACATTAGAGATATTATACGGTAGTATACTAATAGTACAACTGAAAATTAGAAATAATATATTTCTTTTCAGGTGCTTACACCGAGCCACTTCTACGACATGGACCTTATTGTAGTTATGAGGATCATGAAATAACTAGTGTAGTGCCAGGCGATTTTGATGGCGATGCTTTGATGGATGTTCTTGTAACATTGCGTCCAAAACGAGGTGCAGAGGAAAATATTTACAATGTGCATGTAAATTGGGGCGGCCCAGATGGTATTAATTGCTCCGGTGTCAAAAATCCCATTTTCCGAACCAAGGGCGAACCTCTAGCACTCGACTTCAATCGTGATATGATTATAGATCTCTTTGGGCTAGATGAGGATGGCGATCGCACATTTTGGATATTTAAGCCTTTGCGCCAGTCGCCAGAAAAACGCAAGCAAGCTCCACCAGGTGGATCAGGCGCTTCGGTTGATTCTATTCGCATTCCCAATGCAAATGCCTATTTGGACTTCAATGACGACTTTACTGCTGACCTTATCGTGCAAACGAATAAAAATTATGAGGTTTGGTATGGCCGCACTGAAGAAAAAGAAGATTTCAGTTACAATCACAGCATTGATTTATCAGTCATTGGTTCACCCGACTTTACCATAGGGCAAGCTGTATTCGCAGATTTTGAGTTAGAAGGAGTTGAGAACATTATATTGCCTGTGTGCTTTCGTAAAGATTGTTCTAATTCGACAATTCTAGTATATGATGGAAAAAATTTTCGTGATATACATGTAAACTTTAAAGATCCACAAGGTGTATTGTGGGGTTTTGTGCACCCAATTGAGACAGACGTCTACCTGAAGACAATCACAGCACGCAGCGGAGATTTCAACATGGATGGTTATCCGGATTTAATTTTAACGTTGCAAACAGTAAGCGGATCAAAGCATATGCAAACTTTTCTCTTAGAAAATGTGCCTTGCAAGATGTGCAACAAGCCACTGAAGCGCACTTTTGAAGTGAAATGGAATGGACTAAGTCCAATGGGAAATGAAACTGTTGCTGGCGCATTCTACGACTTTTATCAAGATGGTTTGTACATCTTATATCACGAATAAATTTTAAAATTTGCTTATATTATTTTTCCTAAAAGGTGTTCTAGATGTCATACTTATTGAAAAAACTAAGCAAGGGAAATACCGGCCACTAGCGTTTCGCAACACTCTTGACTACGATGCGAACTTTGTTAAAGTTATCGTTCTTACAGGTCTTATAAATAGCAAAAACCCTACACAAACTACACCGCTGGGTAGAAAGCGCCGCACTTATGGAACCAACTTACCCGGCCCACGTATTATTTACTCAACCACTACACAGGAAGGTGATCAACAACAAGGATCAAGCGTACAACTTCCACAATCTGCATATTTTGCCCTGCAGCTGCCTTGCACCATTTTCGGTCTTGGACGTACGCCAAATTTCGTAGACTCTCTTACAGTTGGTTTGGGTAGCAAATCGCGCACTTGGACCCAAGTTATACCCAACTCACAGATGAATGTTGTACCAGAACCAGTGAGTGAGCCACAACACTGGAAGGCACAGCTTTTTGTTACACCCAGTAAATTGATTCTAATGAGCGTTGTGGCGTTGGGCGGTACGTGCCTGGTCATAGTGCTCATCATACTTGTTCTCTACATCAAGGAAAAGCGCGAAGATAAGCAGGAGAAATTGCAGGAGGCACATCGATTCCATTTTGATGCCATGTAATCAAATCAGCTGCATTTCCTTTTTTCGCTGTTCTGTTAATATTTTATTTCTGAAACTGAATTTTTTACCTGATTAGCAAACCCCTTGTGTTAATGTAATTTTCTTTTTTTTTTTGAAATGCATTAGTTGAAAAAGGTGTAAATTTCATTCATAAATTGACATAATAAATAATCGCGCCATAAAAAAAAAAGAAATTGGTGCAGGAGAAAATATTTTTTCCTTGTAATAAGTTTTAGGTACATATATAGATATTTATGCCTTGAAAGCTCAAATACCAATGTGAATATTTAATACAGTCTACTACCAATGGCAAATGAGCCTGTTTAAAAATTCCTAGTACACTACTTCCGTTGGGTATAAACACGATTGTACCCAAATTCTTTTTGTAAAGGTGTATAAAAGACAAAACGATAACAATTTCGTGGCAGTAATGCCAAATCGAAGCAATTTTTCTGTAACCTGGCAGCACCGCCCCATCCATGGCAGAATTTGTCACAGTTCAGCAAAGTGAAATCGGCGAAAAATCATTGTTGCAAACAGGGAAAAACAGGAAAATTTACAGCTAAATAGACGGTTTTCATAAAAAACAACACCAGCGAAATCTTCAATACCAACTTTATTATCAATTGCAGTCTGATAGTATTGAATATATACGAAAAGTACGTAAAAGATCGAAAGTAAAACTCAATTTTGGTGCAAGCAAAACGAGTGAAAAGAAAAAGAATTCTTCCAGATTGCAAGCTGTGTGCATGTGTGTGGCGTTGATTGTTTTGTTGTTGTTTAAGGCTGCTTTTTTCGCTATTGCCGTTACTGGAGCCAGAAGTTAAACGACTTTTTTTAGTCACCTGAGTATAAACTTATAAATCTTTCTGTCATCATCTTTTTAACCAGCAATCGTACGAGTTCCAAATTTTGTTCTCACTCCTCGATAGCTATGCGATTAGTCCCAGTGACGATGCATGCTCACCTTGGCGTATACCCAGTGACGGCTAATAGCGATAGGCTCGCGGGGGCCAATGACCCTCAACTGCATTTATAAATACTTATGTATACATATGTACTTAATCGAATTTTTTTATAATCTTAACACTCAAAACCTGAAACAATTATTCATGTTATTCTTTAACTTTTGTTTTGTAATAGCAGATAAACAGACTTTGATTTCGGGATTCAACATTAAAAACTGAACAAGCGAAATTTTTCAACTGCCCTTAATGTCCGCAAATACAGCATCCACATCGAATCCAACGGGTTCGTCTAACACCACCACAACGACGACTTCCCATGGCTTATCTGCTGCTAGCACTAGTACACCCAGCAGACCGGCAGTCCGTGCACTCGCTCTGGAATACAAGTCATTGCAAGAAGAACCTGTCGAAGGCTTTCGTGTAAAGTTGCTGAACGAAGATAATCTGTTTGAATGGGAGGTGGCAATATTTGGACCGCCAGATACGCTCTATCAGGGCGGATACTTCAAGGCACACATGAAATTTCCACCAGATTATCCATATTCACCGCCATCTATACGCTTCCTGACTAAAGTTTGGCATCCAAATGTTTATGAAAATGGTGACCTATGCATTTCCATATTACATCCACCGGTCGATGACCCACAAAGCGGTGAATTGCCTTGTGAAAGGTGGAATCCAACGCAAAACGTACGTACCATACTACTGTCAGTTATATCGTTGCTGAATGAACCGAACACATACTCTCCAGCCAACGTTGACGCATCGGTTATGTATCGGAGGTGGCGCGAATCACAGGTAAATTATGTTTATTACAATAGAAAAAATACTTAAGCTGCATGTTAGTATTGATCTGTTTATGTATGTATGTATCGTAATTAATTTTTAAGGGAAAGGATAATGAATATCCAAGCATAATAAGAAAGCAAGCGCAAGCTGCAAATGCCGATGCTATAAGGGAAGGTATTGTTGTGCCGATGACGCTCGAGGACTATTGCCTCAAGCCGACCCGTAAAGCGTCTACAGAACCAACGCTAGACACAAATTTCTTTGACGATGATTTCGATCTAGAAACTGAAGATGATTTGCCTACTGACGAAGATGATGAGGATGATGATGATTATGACCTCGACGAAGACAACACAAATTCGAAACGTAAAGACAACGGTACGGCGGATGAGTCGGCTGATGACAGCGGCAAAGGTGAGACCTCGTAATTTGAAACATAGCAATGAAGAATGGTTTTGGCTGCAGATTGTAACGTCATGAGGTGTAAGACGACGCTAGCAGTTTGAAGGTAGGAAAGGCGAATGGATGAAATTAATTAATATTTTGTAAATGGCTAAACATAAACATGAAAAAAGTCGTAAAAATATTTTAAAGCAGCGCAAATGTGGCAACAAAATTCAGGAATAATTAGCACATATTTAGTGTAAAATATGATTAAAAAACAGAAAACAGAAACTTTAAAATTTTCAAAAGCAAAAGAGCCAACTTTTCAAAAAAGCAATACTGCAAAATTACCGTAAATATTTTTTGTAAATGAAATCAGAAATAAACAGATATGCAAACATATACATTTAAATGGATGAGTGCAGAATAGATGTAACTGATATTGTTTAGCAACAATTAGCAAATAAGTGTTTTTCTAAGAAAGTAACAATAAAAACAGTAAACGGAAATAAAAAAGCAAAAACTTGTAAAGAGTAACAACAAAGATTAAAGCCAAATAAAAAATTGACATAACAAACAGCAAAAAATGCCATATTCTTAGCGCAACTAACAATATAATCTTGAATGTTGCCAACATGCGTCCTACTCTATTGGGTAAGCACGATCATGAACATAAAACTTGTTCGTTTCTGTTTATAAAATGAGACAACGCCTTTTTTTCAAAAATTAGTTTATGTTATCTATATTGCTGCTTTCTACACACCACCTAGTGACACTACTGTGCACCGCGGCACGCATTCACTTATCGCAATTTAAATCATATAAAACTAGCTGAACAACACACATACATATGTCATCTAAGGCTTAGAATCTAAGCGACCACACACTAACACACATAGGTAAACAATATATTTTTTATTTATTTTTCTTGAGACATCATAAAATACTTTTAACTATGAAACTTTTACTTTCAATAAAATGCACCCAGTGTGTATTGAATTATGCAATTCAGTTTTTAAAACTTTGAAAATTATTTTGTATATTATTGCTTTTATGTATCTACACATGTATGTAGTTATATATTTAGTTAAATTTCGGCACAGAAATACATAATAAATACATAAATATTAAAGGCTTCTCATTTGCCTGTGCTTGGCCGAGCTTTTCCTCCGATTTGTGGTGAGCGCCAAAGGGGGAGAGGGATGTAATTTTATGCCGCCTCCGAACAGTAAATATTTTGTTTTTTGTGGAAAGCCGAGGGGCGAACGCTCTTTGCAAAATAACTTTCTATTTGGTAGTGTGCATCTCTAACCGCTCGACCACGACGACCACAATACATAGTTTGTATTAAAGCCTGCTAATTTATGCATACATAAACATATATTTCTTTTTTTTTTTTTTACTCTACACATATTCACATTATTTTACTTTTTGCCAGAGCTATATTTTTATACTCATATACTACATCCATATGTAATAGTTTTTAATATAAGACTTCGATTTTCTGCATTACGTCAAAGAAAAAGTAGAGTTCTGATCTTAGCGTACCAACGAACTATTTATTAACTAATTGGTTTCGTCTGTGTATGTATGCGTGTAAGTTTACTTTGTACATGTACTATATGTAGATATGTTTATTTCTAATTAATAATATACATGTATGTACACATTTGGCAAATATTATGCAGCCGGAAGATTCTTTCGAAAATTATGAACACGGCCTTAAAAAATGTAAAATGGCTCAAATGTATCGATAAAGCATCGTAAAAGGAACAAGTAATTTTTAAGCAAAAAACAAAACCGACTTCAATTCTCATATACAAATTTAAGAGTACCGTTAATTTCTTCATGATCCAATGATCGGCTTTCTTTTAAAAAATTATAGAAATCGGTTAACGTGGTTCAAAATTATGCAGTAACATACATAAAAAAAAAATATTCCGACGAATTCCCTACATACAAGATACATTCAGTGAAGCATACAAATTACTATTTCGGTATTTTAAAGCTGATATACAAATAAAAAATTGACGCAATTAAGAGGTTTAAATAATTTTACTATTAAATCTAACTTACATACATACATACATACCTACAACAAAAATAATACAAGTTAAAGACACAAAAATATATGGTTGCGTTGAATGGTAAATTCAAGCCAGTCTTAATGCATGTACTCAAATCTCAAAACCTTATCAATTATGTAAAAAATTACACAACTATAGCGAACGACTAAGAACCTTTAATTCATAGAAGTTGAGGCATAACGGCCATGCTTGGGAGTATAAATACTGTTGTGAAGGAAAATATGTCATAGACAGAAGAAATACATAGTACATAAATAAAATGAGTTGCTATAAACTAAAAGATAAAAATATTGTAATATTATAAACTAAAATGCGATGCAAATTTACGCCAATATGTATTGAAATCTTTCTCAATCCATATATGACCTTTTATAATAACTTTTCATTAGAATTCCTATCCATATAAATAAAAACTAAAAAAACACAAAAGCAAGAACCTAATATGAAGTAGTAACGCAAATTTGTAATATTAAAATGAGGTAGATGAGGACA